ATTGTTCATGGTTGCAATGATGGAACAAGCCTATTTCTGAAGACACTGAAGGACATAGAGAAGGCAGTCTAGAAACGATGGATGTGTCTTTTCCTGCCACCCAGCTTTCATTGTACCTGGAGGTGCTACGCAGGCTAGGGAGAGCAGACATTAGGGATGCCACCCAGTACCAAACATTGCATATTACAATACAGACACACCAGGAAAGACATGACCACTAGGGTAATAGTAGTATGTCTGTTACTGGGAATAACCAACTGCTTTCTGTTTAGGTTTGAGGCCTGCCTCATAGGAAAGAGATCATGCCTAGTCAAAAACCCATGGCTAGGGAAGTCACAGGTGCCAGAGGCAAACCCACTGTTATTGTTTTGCTAAATGGTCATGTGGTCAAACCCCTTTCTAAATGTTTATGTCTATACAATGCATGATATCACTGATACATACATCAATATACAGCAGCTGTGGTTAACCCACACAAGACTAAGCCAGTCAAAAACATAGCATGAATCAGGAAGGAGCTCACAATACCCCTGACCATAGCTGAGGATTGATTGGCAGATGTTAGTTGCTGAGGGAAGGAAAGTCTGTTTTCATCTAGGATGTAGCCTCTGTAAGTTGCCTACACTCCAGCAGATGGCTTTACACACATGAGAAGCATGAATTGAACTCAATGGATCATGTTTTCAAAAATGAAGATGTCAAGAATTTGGCAGAAGGACTAGGTAGGAGAGTCTTGAAGGGGTTGGAGCAGGGAAACGTGTAGATATCAAAATATATTTTATTTATGTATTGTGAAAATCTTGAAGAATAAAGCATAATACATGTATGAAATATTCAACGAAATTTAAAACATTTTAAAAGGCCATAAGGTATTGTGGACATGAATAGAGTCTTCTTAGAGATTACTGACCCATATTTCCATTTCTGTAAAATCTGAATTTGCAAGATCACAGCTCCATCTGTGCAGTTGCTCTGGCTTGTTGTTACATACTGCCCCAGTGTTGAAAAACAAGCCACCCGCCAGTTTAAATATTATTGACTCATTGATTGAATTATTTTACTAAGTGTGCATGTCGTGATGAAAGACCAGCCTTTTGTTGTTCTTAGAGCTCTTACTTGAGCTGTATGTGCAACTCTCCCTAACATGCTCTCTCCTTAACACTCCTTCATTTTGCTCTTCAGAAGTAAGTAATTTATGATGAGTCTTTGCAGTTTGCTATCACAACTATAAAGGTTATGGGAAAGTTGGGTAAGTGTTGAATAGGAACTATATAGTCATGTACTTCTTTTCTTTTGTTCTTTTCCTTCCTTACCTTCCTTCATTTCTTCCTTCTTTCCTTTTTAAAAAGTAGGCTATCATTGTGTAGCTCTGGGTGGCCTGGAACTCACTACATATACCAGACTATCCCTGAACACCGAGAGCTCTGGCTGCCTGAGTCTCTCAAGTGCTAAGATTAAAGGTGTGTTCCACCATGCCCAGCCTATAGTTATTAACTTTATAGAGCTTAGAAAACACATAAAATTGATAACAAAAAAATGCACATATCTTATGGTTTGAAGAAGAATGGCTTATATATTTGAATGTTTAGTTATGGCAGTGGCATTATTTGAAAAGGATTAAAACATGTAGCCTTATTGGAGGAAGTGTATCACTTGGGGTGGGCTTTGAGGTTTCAAGACCCCAAGCCAGGTCCAGAGTGGTCCTTTCAGCCTACATATCAGGATGTATCTTAGCTACTTCCCCAGCACCTCGCTGCCTGCCAAGATGCTCCTCGACAATAGGACAATGGACTGAGCCTCTGAAACTGTAAGCCACTCCCCAATTAAAAGCTTTCTTTTGTGAGAGTTTCCTTGGTCATGGTGTCTCTTCATAGCAATAGGATAGTGACTAAGACATATTTATATGCCCTTTTCCAAACCACAAGCAGGTTTCAACTCCACATGCTTAGACCATCATCAGTTCCTGTATACATTTCATGAGTGCCACCACCACAAAACTAAGTGTAACCAACAATGTGGAGCCAGAATAGCCCAACTACCCAATGGTGTATGAGGAGAAGGAAAAATGATACATACTAGCTTCTTTGTACTGCCGCTCATACCGAAGGTTAAAGTGTAATGAATAATAGCAATAGTAACGAAACAGGTAGTGTTTAATTACTGACTACATGCTAGAAAATATTCTAAGCACAGTTATCTGTACTAATTTATTTGAGGAGGGGCTGATAAAAGGTTAATACTAGATAGCCCAGGCTAGCTTAGAACTTAAAATCCTCCTGCCTCAGCCTCCCACGATCTGGATTACAGGCATGCACCACTTTATCTGACTTCTTTAAGACAGTTCTAAAAGGTGCTATTATTAACCACATCCTAGAGTCGTAGGTGAGACCAAGCTATGTGGTGAGGAGGAACTTGCTCCAGTCATACATTTGGCATCAGTCAACTGGTACTTAAACATGAGAACTATACTGACGCTGACTAGAGGGAAGGGGAATTGTGGATGATCTGAGAGCAATTTGGGGCTGAGGCTTTACAGAACCAGAGGACACAGGTAGATGAAAGCTATAATCTTGCATCTTGAACCTGCATATGTGAAGCTGGCACAGCCTTCAGTGCCAACTTTTTATACAAAGAACCCTCATGGAAGGGGAACTTCAAAGAAAACCCTCTCCCACCTCTCTGTTCCCATCCTTCTTTTCTTTCTCTTCTCCCTCCTTCTCCCTATCCTTCCCTCTACCTCTGCCCCCTACTCTCTCTCAACTTGAACACATTCATTGATGCTTTTCTTAGTCTTATATTAACTTGGCCACCATCCAATTAGAAGAAATAATGAAAGTTTCCATTAGCCACAGGTAGAATGGGACCAAGACCAGATGTTTCTTTTGTGCATGACAGTGTACTGACAAAGCCCTCATCCAGCTTCACAAACACCTCAGACCACAAAACATTAAGGAACAATTATTTTCTTTTAGAAAACCTTGCTGAATGTATACTCAGATTTGTGTAGCAAGTCAACTTTGCATATGTATGTGTGTGTGTATGTATACAAATAAATAGAAAAGTTCAAACTCCCATTGTCAATATGTCAATATTCTTCTTCTTCTTCTTCTTCTTCTTCTTCTTCTTCTTCTTCTTCTTCTTCTTCTTCTTCTTCTTCTTCCTCTTCCTCTTCCTCTTCCTCTTCCTCTTCCTCCTCCTCCTCCTCCTCTTCTTCCTCCTTCTCCTCCTCTCTCTCCTCCTTCTCTTTCTCCTCCTCCTCTTCCTCCTTCTTTTTAGTATTAAGTATTGAACCCAAAGAATTTCTCGGCCTTTCTCTTAAGTACAGGCTTTATATTAATGTATATTAATGTATTTTATCATCCTCAATCTAGACAAGAAGAGACGCAGTTGAACTATGGCCAGTTACTCATGAGATGCTACTTTCTTTCTTCACCATGCAGATGAAAATCAATATTCTCAGTCTCTCAGAGGATGAGTTACACCAACAGCATAACTGGAAGTAATCGCACACAGCCTCCCACAAGCACAAAACCCTTTAATTTACATCCATATGCATGTTGTATCTGGCCTACCGTGCAATCACACTTACTTTGCTATGAATAGAAGAATCAGGATACTGAGCCTCAGAATCCAGGAGTGAAAGTGGATATTCCATAAATACACTTTACATTCATGCTGATCCCCCTTCGGGATTCTATTGGACTCAATCCATTAGGCAGAGCTCAAAAAGTGTGAAATGCATACCAATTTTTACTCTAGATAACACCAACCTATAGCTAACTGTAGATCATGGTCTCTACAATACTATTGTCATTAAATTGTAGAATATGGACACCAATCCATTTGTCTATTGTAGCAAATCTAGAGTATCTGCTCAGAGTAGGCCCTCATAGCCTTGTGCTCTATAAACCAATGATGAATTATTCTAAAAAAAGTATTTCATGTGACTTTGAACATATTTATTTAAAAAAAAACCTTATACTGACTTAAGTTTGAATAGATTGATATGAAGCTATTAAGATGGATATTAAATTATAAATTATCATGTGCCTCAATCAAATGTCACCTTAATCTCTCCTACCTTTACAATATAAATCTGCTACTAATTTATATGTGTGTATATGTATGAATATATATACATACATACTAGTAGCAGATTTATATATATATATATATACATTTATATATATAAACACATGTATATAGTATATATGAGTATATGTGTACAAGTACATATATGTGTATATATGTATATATTAGTTTATGTATATGTATGTATGTATATATGCACATACATATATGTATTTATACATATATACATACACATATATATATGTGTGTGTGTGTATATATATACATGTATGTGTATGAACATATATATACGTTCACATTGCTACCTGCCTTCCTTTCTTCTCAGCTTCTCTTTCCCTCCTTCCTGACATTACACACTAAAATTAAACTAAAAGGTACCACTTATCCATTATATGTCTCTAATTTGAACTTTTTTTTAAATTTCATGACTCAACTTATATAAACTGAATTAGTATTTCTTTTTTCTTTGATAATTTAAGATAATCTACTTAAACATCACCTAAAGGAAGATATTCTCATAAGCAATCAAGATACAGTAAAATGTGAAATAGAAGTTTAGTGAATTTGGTTCATCTGATCTTTAGACTCGTTATATACATGGCGGAGCCTCCCCAGTTACCTCATAAAACTAAGGGTAATGTAGACATCCGTTCCTTGTAAATACTGCAGTTTGAGGTAATCACAAGTACTGAGCTGGCTTCAGTCCCATCCCAGGGATCCTGAAGTCACTGTCACATTGAATACCATTCTCAGATACCTTACATGTCAAACTCAGTACTATGACTCCTCAGAGAAAATCAGGTAAGATCCTTTCAAAGGAACATTACACTCTACTGAAACTTTGCAAGCAGGAGCTCACAGCTTCCTACACAGAGTGTAGGTGCAAGCTCTACCCAAGGTTTCCTTACCTGGGTCAGGTGGCAGGCAAGCGCAGGAGAAGTGAGTGTTGTAACCCACTTTGAAGTCGGAGTTGATAGGATAGTAATCTGCTAGCTTGATCATCTTCTTGAAAGCATCATAGATGAAGATGAAGCTGATCAAAGAGGAGAAACCTTCTTCCGTGAAACGGGTGAAGTACTGAACCAGGAAGCTGGCATCAGTGGCCACCAGGATGAGACACATGAAGGCTGACCACAGGCCAATCCAAAGACGAAACTCCAAGTAGTCAAAACTATGGTCCCTGGGAAGAAAAAGCAAACAAACAAAACCAAACGAGCATTGTTGACTGTTCCGCCAGGAAATATATGCAGAATATAAACCACTAAAATGCCTATAGAATGGTTGCTAAAAACACAAGACCACTTTCAGACACTGCTTATATAAAGCTAAATTTTAGCCAGAAAAAATTTTAAGGATTTGGTTTTATAATATTATTGTGCTGCCTTTAGGAATTACTCTTAAAGATTTTTGGTGGGGACGGTCACTAATTAGTGCTTTCAAAAATAACTTGTGAGGTGGAAGCTTCCCTGGTAGCTAGCTGGTACTATGCAGGCTGCTGAGTAAGATACTGTATCCACACTCTTAACCCATCATTGAACCCTATAAACTACAATACCAACTGAACAAGCAACACACACACACACACACACACACACACACACACACACACACACAGAGTTGTATAACAGTGGCCTGACTATTTCAGATGAAACAATTACTTTCTGATTGGAGTGGAGGGCTGCTGTACCAGAGGAGTCCTATGCCTGATAACTATAAATCTGCCCAAAACCTATGACTGGGAAGATCCCAAGGCCTAGGCAGGAATTTAATATTGCTGTTTAGTTAAACAGATACAGTGTAATAATGCCTAGTAAATATTGTTTACAGACAAATGCTTCCTTTACTTAAATTAGAAAGCACCTCTTCCTGTTTGAATGACATTGAAACTAAAGGCTCATGAATTCTCAAGATGCTAATGAGAAGTGATGATTAACTGCTCGGCCCTACACAGATACTTATACTAATCTCTTGATACATATCTCTTACAATGCTCAAGGAGTTCTGTAGCAAACGGGCCACAAGGACTATAAGAGATAGAAGATATCTGTACTATGTTTTGGGGAAGACAAAAATTACAATCACAAACCTCCACAGTTGCAGTTTATTACACTAGGTTTATTTAAAAAAAAAATAGATCACCAATAGTCAAGCATTGGTAGGGAACAGGTTCACAGAGTCCTGTAACTCATGGATTACCTATTAGCTCCAGGTAAATTCTGGCAGATAGGGAGTTATTGCCTTCACTTGCCTACCTACTAGAAAATCTACCAGACTTCAATGAAAATACCAAGTATGGTTGCACAAGACCCTGGTTGACCTAGATGGGTCACAAAACACTAAAAAGGCTATCAGTCTTAGAAAAAGCCTTCTAGGGATGAAAAAGAGGGTTCATGAAGGAGAGTTAAGAGGGAGTGGGGTGAGTATAACCATTATGCATGTATGAAAATTGTTAAGGAATAAGCTTAAACTTTAAAAGTTTTTAAAGTAGGTATTCATGAAGTATACAGAGTAAACTATTTAAAAGCATTGACGTGTAAGGGGTAATGTACTGGTTAATGTCCTGGCTAATGAAGACAACAGTAACATCAGTATGTAGTGTGTGCTCAACTAATGTCTGTCTTCCAGTAATGGAGACAAAATGATAAAGGCAATTATAATACAAAATGCTAAGTGACGGTGTCAGGAGAGAAGACGGCAAGTAACTCTGGGAGGGAATGGAGTTGCAGAAAGGACATCGAGGTGTTTGAGAATATGTATGAAGAAACTTTCCAGACTGAGTAAGAAGAGTCAGGTCAGGAGGTGGAAGAGTAGTCTAAAAGATATGTTATATAAAAGATAGTTATATATGTTATACCCTGTAATGTGCACTCTGGACAGAGTATCACTAAGAAGAGAAGACAGGAGGAGAAACACAGGCTGTTATCAGAACAAGAGAGGTTGCCCTGCCATGATGCAGCCAAATACTAGTGGTTCTCGTTTGAATGCCCACAGACAGGATATCCTTTTATCATAACTATGTGTGGAGTATATGTGTCTACCTTGTTCTGCCTGGGCTTGTTCCATAGAAGTCTTAGAATGGACCATCATCATCATCTAAATTAGGCTACTGTCTTTCAATGCTCTTCCCATTTCCTCTAAGTCAAGATTGATAGGAAATGATGGGTTGAGTATTGATACTTCATGATTGCATATTGGTTATCTTTTAATATTCATCATTTTATTTCATAACGTGATGAGAGTGAAGATACAACCTAAGAACCAAGGATTCTGCATACTTGACAATCTTAGCCTTGTTTCTTGACGTCAGGTTTCTGATAACTGTTAGCCACTCTTTGAACACTTTCCCAACGACATCATATTGCCTTGCTTCCTACCATCAACTCAGTTTGAGCAGCTAAATCATTGCCCGATAAAAATTTCTGAACTCATTCATTTACTGATACCTATGCTTGCCCTACTCAAAGCAACTTTCCACACCAGAGTCAATATGATCTTTTAAGTGCTGATTATACACCTCAGCTGAAACCCTTCCAATGACTTCCCAACTGCTCATAGAACAGAATTCTACTTCTCCACCCAGAACAACACTTTGCTCATTAAAAGGTGACTAATACATTCATTATAGATGAAGGAAAGCATGCCTGTAGCTCATGTCTTAACGGAGACAGTGACTGGCAGAGGCCTGTGAGTTACCCCATACAGCAAGGAAATAATTATAGAATGTTGGATTTTAAAATTTCTGACACACAGTTATAGTTAACTTTATGTCAGCCTGACTGTGATGTAAGGTATTCGGATATATGGCAAAACATTATTGTGTGTTTCCACAAGTCTGTTTCTGGACAGATTAACATTTAAATGCATGGACTTCAGGTAAATGTGGATAGGCCACATCCCGTTAGGTAAAAAATAGAATAGAGAAAAAATGGAAATTATGAACTTTAGTGTGATTTATGTTCTATAGATCTTCAGAGATTCTTCAACAACAGCTTTACCTTCTATGCCAGTTCTGTGTATATCTATATCTCTACTGCTTAATGCCAGGCACGTCTGTGTAAACTCTACTGCTTAATGCTATGTCTGTGTAAGTTAAGCAAACTGCAGAAAAAAACATGCCCTAAGAATTGAGAGAGTTCACATTATCACATGACACAGCTCCAAAACGAGAGTTAAGAAACATTTTACTACCATTTGAACCAACCAGCATTTTTTCTTAAAAGTTTAAAACTTCCCTAACAAGATAAAATGTAGAAAGATCTTTTTTTTATTTGTTTGGTTGGTTTTCTGCTTTGCTTTTGAGATAGGGGCTCACTCAATAGTTCAGGCTTGCATGGAACTCAATATGCAACCAGGGCTGGCTTTGAAGTCATAGCACTTCCTCTGCCTGTCTTCCACATACTAAAATTATAGACATGTGCTACCATGCCCAGACTGAAAGCTAAGGCACTCCAGATTTGTTCCAAGAATGCTAGAAGTTGTTACAGAATTGATGTTTTCAAGAGAGGATAAGAGACAAACTCATTAATTGTTAGCAATTAAAACATCATGAGTTCGGACACAAAAGACAAATGCACACACAAGCTTAAATCTTAGAACCTAAACAGTATATACCAAACTCGCTATTCTAAGAGACTTTCAAGCTGTTGGCATAGTTCAGTGAGAATGAACTCAAATAAAACCACTAACTAAAACAATGGCACTGCTATGAATCCACAACATTTACAATTTCAAGAAAAACTAGAAGATGAGAATCTTGGTAGCATACCAGTTGGTAATCTGTGATAACCATCCCAATCCTGCGAAACAAGGACTCAACTACAGCTCCTAAAAGGGAAAAAATTATCTTGGAACAAAGCTGGGAAAGGTGAACAAATAGTTCAAGATGGCTTGACTGGACAGTCATCTTGATTCTTTGGTGTACTGAAAAGGAAATGACCAAATGGAGACTGAAATACTGTACTTCCGAGGCCCACGAGAAAGCTTTTTTTTTTCCATGGAACATCTAAAACCTTATAGTGGGTTAACGCAGGTTTGGGAAATGGTATGCCACAAACTACATTGTATCCAGAGGAAATACCATAATTACTGGGATTCTAAGAAAAATAAATGAATACATTCAGAGCACAGTGAATAAAAGTACCATTTGTCACATAATAGGCGATGTTGGGTTTAAGGCAGTTTTGCAAATGTTTCTCATTGCTTTACAACTGTTTTCAAATAAATTGCTGGAAACTATGTAACAGAACCAATTATGATGAAACAGAAGGGAAAGTGAGAAAGGAACTGGCTTGGTGGAAGGAAATACTCTGTAGCCTACAATAAGTAAAACAAACCAAGGCACAAACATTTTCTGTAGATTCAGACTCTGATCACATTGCATCCAATAAATCTCTCTGTAAGCCTCTGTCTGTTGGTTCCTGTTTATAGCACACACTTGTTTAATCTTCCCATGAAGCCTTTCTTGTCTCAGAAAATGTTTTCTTAAACATATAAAAACTGTTTGACTCTCTCTATAAACTGACATGAATAAAATTCTTTCCGTGTACTTCTCAGAAACATGGTGGAGGAGAAATCCATAATAAGAATCTACAGAAAAGTCACAATTCTATTTAAATATTGCAACTTCCAGTGCTCAGAAGGTTTTCACTGATGTTCTGTGCCCAGATTTTAAAAAAAAAAAAAAAAGGTCTCAACCTTCCCACTGTCTCATTTAACTTATAATCAGTTTCAATGACATATGCAATTTCAAAAGTTCTGTGGGAGCCGTCAAGTTCACATGTCTTGTTATGGTTTGGTTTGATATGAATTATTCCCTCCAGAGTTGTGGATTTGAACACATGATCGCCAGCTGGTAGCACAATATAGGAAGTGTATGGGAGTTTCAGAAGGTGGAAGCCTGCTGGAGGAAGTACAACCATGGAGGTTAGCTTTGAGGTTGTATGGCCTGGCCCCACTTCCTGTTCTTTCTCATCTTCCTGACTACCAGGGCCCCCTCACTCTTCTTTTGCCATGCTTTCCTTGCAGTGAACTGTATGTCAGCACAAACCCTTTCTCCTCTAAGTTACAGCTTGTCAGAGTCTCCTGGAACAGTAACAGAGAAGTAACAAATACAGATACTGTGTAGACACTGGCTGTTCTATAATTAAAATCCTGCAATATGCAACAATACAGAATATGGAAATTCTGCAAAGGAATGCTCACAGGACATTGACAAACCATGATCTAAGCAATGAGACCGTCCAATAAAGGCATTCCTATCCTAGAAGTATAGCAATCACAGCAGAGAGAGAGAGACAAGAATACCCAGTTTTACATGGAATCAAATCTATTCCTGTGCTAAAATAACAATTTAAATAATTTCCTTATCTCAATTACCACCACCACCCCCGCCATTTAAAATGAACCACCAATTTCTAAAAGAAAATATTGTCATCACTACTATCCATCTTGAGTACTGGAGTGACGAACAGGGGAACCATGGATTAAGAACATTCAGTTTCTTTCACGAATGAATCGTACAACCTGGCACAAGTCATTTGGTTTCTTTATTGTTTCAGTATCATGACAGAAAAGGCATTTTAAAGTGGGACTCAAAGGAAACTAAAAAAAAAAGGCTATTCACAAAAGCCTGACTCCCCCTCCCCTTAAAATGGCAATGCAGATCCACTTAGAGCTAACTAGAGCAGGGAGCCATTTTCAGTCTTGAGCTTTTAAAGGTCACACAAGGAATGGAGTTACAAGAGCCTGGTGAGCAAAAACTAGGCTAGACAGGCCACCTGACAGAGGCCAGTGTCAGGAAGCAAGCCAGGCTGCTGTGCTGAAAGCAGGGGATGATGGGAGAACATGACATCCTGAAACTTTGCTCTCTCTTCATTATCTAAACCAGCAGGAAGCCCTGGAGGGCAAAGGAATCTGGGGCTTTTAGTCCTTGAGAGTCAGCCCTTGGGACATGAAAGAAGCCAGTAAGGATGAGAATTCTTGGAGAAGGAAAGAGCAGAAAGCACAACAGATGGGCCTCTTGAAATGACTGTAAACTAAGCTCTGGACAACTTAATCATTAAGGCACTTTTGACTTCCAAATCTTATCACTCCAGTATTTTGGTAGCTTCTTGGATCTATTCCACGGCTATTCTGTGCTTTGTCCAAACGGAACATCATAGGAGATCAAGTAATCAGGCAGGCAGGCAGACAGACAGACAGACAACAGACAGACACATACTTGCTGAAGTTAAAAAGAAGCCTCTCAAACACCAAAACAGGTCCCGTGCTGCTCAAGATGGTGAGCGGTTGACCCGCGAAAAGGCAGAAGATGGCTCCAGAAACAGCAGTGCCCAGGAAACTCTCCAACACACCCTAAAAGAAAGAACATTCAGGTGGTAAAGTAAAAACAAACCAAAAGACCCACATATGTTCTTCCTGTTTGTGATGTTGGCCAAAGAAAGAAGCTGTGTACGTTAGAACGAGGTCCCTAGCAAACAGGTCTTTAACACACATACCATAAATCTTCCCTATTGCAAGGGTTGGTTGCTCCACAGTGCGGCAGTGACTGAGACTTCTGGTTTCCAGGAAGGAATAGTATCTCTGACCATTACTTAAAAATGTATTGAAGTCATCAAAACAGAAGCATTGGTTCAGGTTTTATAGATCTGTTTTTCTCTTTGTGGTTCTTCAGTGTTTGCTTCAGTGCCATTATCCCTTGCACTTAGTAGGTACTTTTAAGCAGCTACATTTTAAACACAAAGCCTTTTCTTTTTCTAACAGAGAAGATTTTGAAAAGGAGGGGTGAGACCAAAGAGGATAAAGACAGCGATGCCACTGTAACAATTTTCTCATGTCTGCTTTAATTGTACATATGTACACGCATTTCATGTCTTTTAATTTCATACGTGTATACATGCATTTTGATTATATCCATCCCGTTCACCATACTGAATGCTCCGAGACACCAACCTCCATATCACCTCCCAACTGAATATCCCCTTTCCTTTTCTCTTCACAATCCACTAAGTCCTGTCAATGTTGCATATGTGTGTGTGAGTAAAGGGCTAGCTGCTGGAATATGAGCAGCCTTGCAGAGGTCACATTCCTGAGGAAAACTGACTCTTCCTCCCCCAGCAACCATTAACTGTGAATAGCTTTCAGGTCATTTGCAATTTTTAAGCCACCAATTGTAAAAAAAAAAAAAAAAAAAAAAAAATGCTGCTACTGATGACAGCGACAACTGACAACAATGATTCTCATTTCGTGCTAACACATGTTCCAATACAAACTGCACAAAAACCTCAAGGAACTTTACAGTCTGAGAAAAATAAATGTACAGAGACATAAGTAGCTAAAGCTTTTGTGGACATCTCTGAACGTCAACTTTTCCTTTAGCACAACAGGAAGCAGTACACAAAAGAATCACTAGCTTACAAAACAACCTTCCTTAATCAAGTTGTGGAGAGTACAGGTTTGAATCTAGCAGGAGCGACACATAGAGGCTCCCACTTAAACACGTGTGAGGGCTAAGGAACAGCTTGAAAGCATCGTTCGTTTTTTTAGTAGCTATCCCAGCTCATTGTTCCTCATAGGGAAGAAAAGTGAGAAGCAAAAAAAAACACAAAACAAAACGACACAACCAAGATGCAGTTCGATGGACAAGCCTGAAAGGGTCCCCTGTTCCTCCATATAATACTGTCCTGTTTTCTTGACTGTTGACACTGTGACATTCAGGTGAGTTAAGTGATGTGCAGGCACTGTGGATAAGAGCTATTGGATGTGTGTGTCCACCTAGCCACACGTCACTCTTTTCAAGTTCTAAAGGGGTGGAAAAGCCGAAGCCGAAGGATTTTCCTAGATAGGGAAATTGTCAGCTTCTGTCCATAAACAGGGAGCTTTCACAATCTTATCTTCATTTTTTTTATAGCTCCCCTGAAAGCTAAGGATTTAAATGCTTCAATTGACCAGATGATCCACTTACACGGTATTATAAAATGTGTCATTATGACACAGTCTAAACATATTTAATAGGCAAAGAGACTGTGCATCATAGCTCAAAGAGACCAAAACACGGCTCAGATTGGGCATAAGACAGGGTGTAAAATCAGAAAGGAGGAACTTGAGATTTCAGATCCTCAGCTTGGCTTGCCATAGCCATCAATCTCTGGGAGGACAGGAACAAGGTCTTCCTGCACCTTCTGTTTCTCCTCCCATCCCGCTGCCCACCATCCTTCCACGAGCTTTGCAGGTCCTCAGCTAGTGCTGAAGGAACCGAAGACATGCCCAAGTGACACCCTAGGTCTCCTTATCAAAGGTCAAGAGCCTTGGCTGCTCGTTCAGTAAAGATAGCAACCAGTTTCTTCCAGAAAACCACAGTGATTTATGGAAGCCACGTGATGACTCAAAGGCAGATTACTTTTATTGCAGTGCTTGATCCCTTCATAAGTGCTAGTTTTCCATTCTGTGGCTGACAATTCTGAAGTAGAGACAGGTGATTTATTACACACACTGCACTGGAAACTCGCTTCAACCGCGAGAGGCTTCCAGCAATTCTGAGAAAAGAACCATTTTCACCACATTTTGACATGTTCCTCTTCACAGCCCAGAATTTTTTTTTTTAAAATAATCCGAGGCAATGAATAACGTTAACTGTAACTAGACTCCAATGGAACTTACAAAACAAATCATTGTAAACACCTTTTCCGATTTATCCTATCCAGTGTTCGCCACTATTGAATTCTAAAAGAAAACTTCATTGAGTCATGTCTTGTCAACAGCCATGAGTTTTAAAGATACTTCTACATCTGACTTCTAGAAGGAAAGAATTTCCTAGCACTTCACAAAGGTGCAGTTGGCTGATCTTGGAGGTGTGGTACATGAGGGCCCACAGAGTGTCCTGACACTCTTGGTTGGCCTTCCTCCTTCCTTCCCTGCTGTCAGAGAATTCCTACAAGGGAGAGACAGCCAGCAATCAGGAAATCCAGAGTCTAGACTGTTCTGCACAAGAGACCCGACGATCTTCAGAATGTCACCTCACTTCTTTCAAGTAATAAAATAAAAGGCGGCAGAGTAGAGAAACAGGCTCTGCGTTCACCGTCTCCAGGTGCCTTAGAGGCTGTCCCACAGTTGCAGCGTAACCTCTAATCCGAATGTTAGATCACACAGACTATGGGACATGCCTCGCACAGTCTCTGGTGGCTAAAAGCTTTTTGAATAGCAGCAACCTCTCATTGGCAACATCTTTACTTGAATATAAGACAAAGAGGTGGGGCTTGATGAGTGCTAAGGCCTCAGCCAGCTGGCTCAGCACCTTGTAGACATGGCTCTGTGAGCTGACATCAGCTCCGCCAGTTACTGCCCTAGAGCCAAGTATCTCTCTGCCAAACCTACAGCTACCTCCCTGGATCATCACTTGGATCAGAGCAGTTGTTCTCAACCTTCCTGATGCTGCGACCCTTTAATACAGTTCCTCATGAAGTGGGGACCTCCCCGCCCCAACCGTGAAATCATTTTGTTACTACTTCATAACTGCAATGTTGTGACTGTTAGGAACTGTAATGGATACGCAGGGTATCTGATATGCAGGATATCTGATACACGACCCCCAAAGGAGCCATGACCCACAAGCTGAGAACTGCTGGATTAAAAGGAAAAGAACTCAGAGCACAGTAGAGCACACAGTAGAGATGTAATATTAGGTCTCTTCCCTCCTGCCTTCTCATCCCCTTCAGCACACCTAGGAATGATCACGTCTTTTACCTTCTGAACAGGAGGAAGGTGGAAAGCTGTAAGGAATGGTTTAAATCAAGGTTAGTCCTCAGTAGGATGGGGTGGGGCCTCTCAAATTCTGCATTAAAATATAGATACCTTGGGGCAACACTAGGGCCTGAGGAGTTGATTCTTACAGTGAAATTGATGCTTCTAGCCAAAACAAAATAGTCTATTTATGTTACAGAATCAAAATCAAAGCTCTCACACAAAACAATTTGCAACTGTTTCTCTGCCTGCATGAGGGTGTGAAATTTAACCCAAGATATCCTCTGTTTTTTTTTCAAAACAGCCAGAAAAAGTAGAACATTTCTCAAACTTTCAAAATCAAGCATACAGTAATGTAAACCGTAGGAGGAAGGGTCAAAAAAAGTTAAAAGGCAGCTGTGTTCAAAAATATCAGCATTTCGTGACTTTCAACTACTTGGGACATGAACTGTGAGTAGCATTACCCCCATAGCAACGTAAAGAAGGGTACTCAGGAGAACTGGACATTAGACATTCAAGATGCATGCCTTCACCTCATTGTACTTTATCTTCACATGACACCACAAAATAGCATTTTCAACTCTATATCCTTCTTAGTGAGGATCTTATTGTTTTGGTTCACAATTATTACCCTGTGGAGGAGGGCTTGCTTGGCAGCAGTAAGATAGAGGGAGGAAACAGCATAAAGGCTAAGAAAAACACCAGATTTTCTGTTTCTTAGACAATTTGCAAACTCGTAGAACTTAGAAAATAAAATATTTTAGTTGTATTAAGTGACAGTGCATTCACCAATATTACTGTGGTATGACAAGCCTTAAAATTTTTTTTTAATTTATTTCTACTCATAAGGAGAGAAAATTTAGCTCATGTTTGGATTGATTTACATGAATGATACAGCTTGCTGAATAATAAAATTGAATTTATGTAGATGAGTCTTTGAATCTGCAGTTTAGCCAAGAAAAAGAAACAAGGCAGTGTGATGCCACAGGAAACACTAAAAGGAGAATCCGGCTCAACTGCAATGTTAACTGTTTTGTGTGTTTGTGTGTTTGTTTACACAAAGGTCTTGGTTTGTAGCTCAGCCTGACTTCATTGTCGTCTAGGCTGAAATCAATCTCATGCCTACCTTCTTCACCTTCTCAATGCTGAAGCATGCAAGAGTTTTAATGTCATGCCCCAGCAGAAGCTAAACCCCATTATTAAAAGTAAGTTAAGAATGATACAACTGTGGCTGGAGAAGGGGCTCAGCAGTTAAGAATACACATTTGCTATTGCAGAGGGTCTGGATTCAGTTCCCAGAATGCACTTAGTACCTCACAACTTTTTGTAACTCCAGTTCCAGTGGATCTGAAATACCCCTTGGGCTTCTGCAGACACCAGATACACAGGATGCACATGCACACATGGAGGAAACACACATACATATATTAAAAATAAATAAAAAAAAATTTAAGGAAAGAAAGAATGCAAGTATTGAGATCAAATTCAGGTCACATGAGAATTACCTGAGAAAGTTCATATGTGTTTGTCTGTTTGTTAAAAGCCTAATCCTTCATAGTCACACAGAGCAGTTAAGTCAGCATCTCTGAAAAAGGACAGGGGGATGAAGCCTAGAG